AATCACTCGTACGCACAACTTAAGAACAAATCTGTGCGTACCAACGGTTCTTGCATGAGGCCCAATGCCTTTTAAGACTTTTTAAGGATCTGCAGGAACACTGTTCAATCCCCGAAAAAACATTCAAGGACTTTCAAGGACAAGTGTAATTTTTATTTTTTGCTGTTTTGACAAACCTTCCAGGGCCTTGAAATCATTTTTTCAAATTCACAAACTTTCAAAGATTTCAAGGACCTGTGGGAACCCTGTTAATGGTCCCTTTAACCCTCAGAGTCTTTAGAACCAATCAGTCCATCTGCACCTGATGTCGTAGAGTATTCAGTACACTCTGTAGCTGAACTGTTGTCACATCAGTGTTTTAAAGTTTGAGAGTAACTCAAGATGTTTTTGCGATGACCTCTGTGTTTTTGACAAAAAGAGCTGTGATATTTGTGTGACCTAAGAGTGACTCAATGAGCCTTCAGGAAACTGTCAGCTTCTCAAAAAGAGCTCATGATCTTCCAGTTCTCCAGGATCCAGAGCAGCAGCAGACGCTTCAGATAAATTCTGACTGTTCCGTCTCTCAGCACGGATGGATTTATCAGCCGGTGCTCTTTATCTGTGAAACGCAGAGATAACACTGAGGGGGCCTCACACCAACGTACGCCGACACGTATCTGCTGCTGCAGCTATCGCAGAAACGCCTCGGGGTTATGTCCTTTAGGGCTTTATAGCCTAGCAACTGGTGATTGTTGTGTGCCAACAGCGCCGAGGCAGTCAGCTGCAACATTTGGGAAGAGAAACAGCTGTGGAGGGGAAGGTTAGACACTTACAGGAGCAGGAGCGTAACTTAAACACTGAGTTACTGAATATTTAACACCACACTTAAACTAGGAGGTTATAGTGATGTTCCTCTGTTAAAAAATAAAGCTGGAGTCAATACAAAGTGCTTTAAATAAATCACAGCGACCCGGAGAAGCAGGTCACTTTGAGGGGCTTTCTGCTCCCGGGAAGTATTTTTACCACAACCTTCGGACGCGTCGAGGTGCTGAGCAAGATATTCATGAGTGGGAGTATTATGGAGCAGAAACAGGACCCGGCCCGTCCGTCTATTCCTGGCTCGCCCTCATTTCGCGCCCTCTCACCTCGTTAAAAATAGCCGCCATCTTTTCACCAGCAAAGGCAACGCAGACGAACAGAGCAGGGGCTTTTTTTAAATACAGTCACCTGTGGGGGTAACGTTTCAGGGGAAGTACACTTCCTCTGTGTTTCAGCTTTAAAGTAACGAAACTGAGGATTAACTTCATGCATCTTTATTTCAAGTATCAGTAAAGACATGTTGATGAAATTAACAAAAAGAAAACACGTTTCCATGAACTACAACATGAATGTGCAGAACGTTAAAACTCTAAACTAGTTTTCTGTCGTTGAGCTGACTTCAAAATACAAAAGTATAAAAAGATAAAAAGGACGTTAAATATTGCACTGATCGTTTCCACCTGACTTTAATCTGAGTCCTCGTCGTCGACGCTACGTTAAAAAGCACAAATCTACATCTGCAACCGCTTCAGTCTCGTTTACTCTTCCTCCTCCTCCTCCGCGTCCTCGAACTCCTCGTCGTCGGCGCCAGAGCCGAAGCCCATTTTGGCGAGGACGGCCTCGACGTGCTCCGTCGACAGCGTGAAGTGGTCCATCTTCTCGAAGCCCGGCTCGGGCCTCTCCTCGCCCAGGGAGGCCTTGGCGGCGTCTTTGGTCTTTGTGATGAGGCCCTTGGAGGCCAGCAGGAACTCGGCGGCGCCGCTCTGCTCCAGGGCCCGGACGGCGGTGTCCGTCAGCTCCGTGCTGGCCTGCAGCCGCTCGCCGTAGCGCTGGGCCAGGGCCCGCAGCGCCGCCACCTTCTCGTCCTGCTCCTTGCCRACCTGGTCGAGCAGGACGGCCTTGCGCTCCTCCAGGATGGCGTAGAGCAGGTCGAAGCGCTCGGCCAGGCTCTGCTTGGCGCGCTGGGCGTTCTCCTGCACAGACCGGCAGGAGTCCTCCATCTGGGTCAGCAGGACCTGCAGGCGACTGTTACTGGCCACCAGAGTGTCAATGGCGTTGCTCAGGTCCCCTTTCTGGGTTTGGTAGATGGTGGGCAGCGGTGCCACCTGGCAGTCTTTGTGCTGGCCGAACACCTTGCACATGGAGCAGGTGGGCACCTGGCAGCTCACGCAGTAGATGTTGATTCTCTCGTCCTCGTGCTCCTGGCACATGGGCTCCTTGGACTCCTTGGGCTTCAGGGTTTCTGTGCCGTCGCTCTTGCCCTCCTGCTGCTGCTTGTAGATGTCGATGATGTTCTCCACCAGCAGGTTGCGCTGGAGGCCGTGGACGCCGTGCCGGTCCAGGACCACCTCGAAGCGGCAGGTGGGGCAGCGGAAGACGCCGCCGGAGAAGCGGTAGGGGTTGCGGGAGTCGTAGAGGTCACTGGCGCAGCTGCGGCACAGGTTGTGCTGGCAGGGCAGGATCACCACGGGCTTGGTGAACATGTCCAGGCAGATGGGACAGCTCAGCTGCTTCTCCAGGCTGTCCATGGGGCTGGGGGGTCGGACCAAGGATCCTGTCCTCTGCACGTCCATCATGGAAAGTCTCTGTCTTTAAACGAGGCTGAGGAGTTCTTAAAAAGAGAAAACTCAAAGCTGTTCTAAGAGCTCCTCTGTGTGAAGGGTTCTGATCTATTCTGGTCCTGAGCTCAGAGCTCCGGCTTTTATATGAGTCCTCACAGCTGGTGACACCTGATCCTCTCCCACCACCCAGACCAAACATTCCTGACCGGCCCGGGGTCTTTTCACAGAAACACTCCCCACCCGCCCCGGTTGTTCCCCCGTCACGTGTGCCAGCGGGCAGCGSGGGCCTGAAGACTGAACCGGTGGACTGATCTGGGACAAACAGTACGCATGTGACGGGCTCTGAGAAACATGTTCGGAGGGAGGAGCTCAGGTCCGGATAAACAAGTCAACAACTGCTTTTATTTGTTTTCCACACAGGAAGTCGTGTCAATCTGGATGTTTCCAGCTCCTCTGAGTGTCGAAACCTTTTAAATTCTTTAAATTATTTTATATCTATTTATTCCAGGGCTGTCCAAACTCTGGCCCGGGAGCCATTTATGCTCCACGGAGTGATTTAGTAAAGCTATATATGTTTTTTAAAATGTTTTAACTTCTATTTATTTTAAATAAATGTCTCAGAGATCACAGATCTGAGCGCAGCTTAACGTCATGCTTTTAGAGGAAATCTGAGAACCTGTAAACTCCACACAGYAAGACCTCCAGGTCCAAATATAGGACCTACTTCCTGTGAGGAAACAGCCCAAACAAACAAGGCTAGGTTTTAAATTTTATTATTTTTCATAAACTATTTGATTCCAACAAACCAATAAAGACCACAAAGTTTAAAGTGCCTGTGACATCAAATTTTATAATAAATATTAATGTATTCATGGAAAGATAACATCGATGATGTAAAAAGAGATTTCACACCGCTGAGATGAACAGTTGTTGAGATATTCACATGTAAAAAACAGGAAGTGATGTCATAGGGGAATGTATGAATGTAAACGGAGCGTTGTTAAAAAAGACTGTAGAGAAAAATATTATGTTTCTTTAGATTAATTTAATCACTATCATAGAGA